CTATAGATGGCAGCTTGGTTGTCAGCGTAGACGTGGATGTTTTGGTCTTTTAGGGCTGTTTTAGCAGCGTATTCAAACGCTGCTGTTCTGAGTGATCCTACTACCGATACGAATCCGACTAGTCTTGCCTGCGCCGTTGCAAGCGGCCTTGTACAAATCTATTTATGTGATGTAAGGTAAATATATTTAACTCTTCTAATAGAACGGATCGGCGAGCTTCTTTGATACGTAAATTAAAGCTTTAGAGTAGCAAGCCTTATATTACTTCTATTTAGAGTTCTACTTTAGATAATAACGTAGTGGTAAAACAAGTTAAATAACTAGCTTTTTCTTAATTCTAATTATCTTTTTTAACTAGCTAGTTCATTAACTACAATAATAGTTGGTTAACTATACTAGAAAAATAATAAAGCGGAATAAAGAGGAAGCTTCTTCGGCACCAAACCTCTCTAAAAAAGCAAAATACTTAAAGCAAACTAAAGAAATAAAAAGAAAAAGATTGTAGGTCTTTCTATTCTACTAATATAGAAAGTTACTCTGCTCGTAACATAAGAAGCCTCTTACTTCTAGGGCGTAACTTTAAAACCCTGGCAAGGAGTGCCAGCCACATTAGTGCATCGAGAGTTCGAGGAACTAACCGAGTACGCATTCGTACCAGTACAGCTACTGAATGCATTGCAGACAAAAGCCACAGAAAATCCCGCGGCCCACGCACCGCCGGAATCTTCCTCACTAAAGTCTAGAATGCACATCGACGTGATACCGAACGGGTTATTACTTGTAATTTGGCACGCACAGTTGACATCGAAGGGGGTGCCTGTGCTAATTCCTCCAATGCGTGCGCTACACGGTCCCGAGTCGCTGCCAATAGGTTTGCTGGTGGCGGGCTGCCATGTGCCTGAGATGTAAATTTCGTTTCCAACACTGCCTCCCAGACCGTAGTATTTAGCATGTGCTTCCCAAGTGTTTGCACGTCGTTCGAGAGTAGTGCCTAGTGAATTTGTTAGAATTATAATGTTAAAGAAATAAGAGGGAACGTGTTGCAAATATCACTGACCGTGAATAGCTTCGGCGGGCACAGCAAGGACAGAGTGTGCCATAGCGGCGAGGAAGAAAAGCTTGAACATGGCGTCTGGTTTTCTAGAAGATCATGCGAATATTCAATAGATACTTTGAGATACGAGAGAAAGATATTCACAAAGAGTGGATATAACCAGCATTTTATAGATATTAGAAATTATCTATTCTAGTTATATATAGATTATAGTTTATTGTAACGATGTTACAACCCCGCTAAGCATCAGACCAATCCCGGAGCCGGATCGGAGGAAGCATCAGACGCCCCCTCATCAGCTACCGTTCC